AAAATAATGAGTATAGGATTATAAATTATAAAGGCAAGTCTTTACTAATTTCTGAAATTGTTTGAAAAATAAAGCCTACTATCTGATTTTTATTCCAAAGGGAATAACAGCTTGGTATAAGATTAAGAGCTCATATATAACCCCAGGGTGACATGTTTTAAAAGTAGAAAATGTCAAAATTGAGGCAAAGACAAATGAATAATGCCAGGAAAATTGTAAGGAATAAGGGAAAGAATCTATATAGTACTTTAAATATATGTTCAAGTGGCATGGCAGAAAGGCTAAGAACTGTATTATAAATTCCACAAATTCCATGCATCTGAACTTTAAGTGTAAACAAATAATTTATTCTCTTCACTTGGTGACTCATGAAAGTCTTGGTGTTCACTCTTTTGTGGAGTTGTCTTTAGAAAGAGCAACCACTGTCTGCATCCATAGATGTGGTACCTAATACATTTCCAGGGTGACAGTGAGATTTGCATCTCCTTGAAATAGTAGTATGACTTCTGCTACATGCAAGCTATTTTAATGCCCACTGAGAAATAAAACAACACAATGTGGAAAATGATAAAATATCTCCTACTTAAATATAATATAGACTATGTTAGCTCTAAGAGCTACTAGAAACTAAGAAATTAAAAATGGAGACATAAATCATTAATGAGCATTTTTTGTAAAGGTATTACAAAAATGTGTGTGTGTGTGTGTGTGGGTGTGTGTGGGTGTGTGTTTTGGCACAGAAGAGAACAAAACAAATAAGCCCACTTTTAGAAGCAGGAGCCAAGGGGCAACATATGCAAACTGATGTTGCAAGGGAGCAACACCATATCATTTAAAGTATAAATAATCACTTAAAGTATAAATAATAGGCAGTTTGAGCTTTATGGTCACCTGAAAAAGTTCTCTTCTTGCTCAAAACTTTTTCCATTTGTCATCATTTTTCTGTTGATCTCCAACCGTTTTGCCATTGTTCAGAATTGATTTTGGCATCAATTCTGAGGTGATTAATTCCTGCATCACATGTTAGTGTTCAGAACATATTTATTTAATACTCCAGTCAATTCTATTTGACTGCCATGTAGTATCACTGCCCATTTTTCAGCTATAAGAACTAAGGCACAGAAATTCAAGAAGTCTCTCAGACCCACACTATGACTAACATGACAGAGACCTGAACTGCATTCCTGGTGCACACTGATACTGCAGAAAGCGAACAGGGTGAACAGTCAATAGAACCAACTTCATCCTAAATTCTTTTGTGGTCTTTAAAAGTCTGAGGGTGCGAGGCTGGAGAGATAGCTCAGAGGTTAAGACACTGCCTGCTCTTCCAAAGGTCCTTAGTTCAGCTCCCAGCACCCACATGGTGGCTCACAACCATCTGTAATGAGATCTGGTGCCCTCTTCTGGCCTACAGGTATACATGCAGGCAGAACACTGTATACATAATACATGAATAATTTTAAAAGAAAAAGAATTCACTCATTATATTAAAAAAAGTATGAGGGTCTATAATTAAAAAATGATATAAGCTCCTCCCCACAAAATAAGAGTGTTTGTTTATGATTTTTTATTTTTGTATACAAACCAAAAACAAAGTTCAAAAACACCCAGGATTGTGTTTCCTTTCATGTCTTAAAACCTTCAAAGGGATATAATTCCTAGGTGGTATATTTCAAAGCATAAAGTGATCATCAGAACACTAAAGGTAACAGAAAATCTTACAGTGCCAGAAGCTGAAAGATAGCCTAGAGTACTCATGATTCAAAAATTTCTGGTCTGTAATGAGTGGCACATGCTTGAGGGGGCAGTGGGCAAGCATCAGGTGCAGACCAGTTGATACCTTGGAGAAAGTCCAAGGCCAGACTTTCTGGGGTGGTGAGCAAACATATTTGCAACTTCTCAATCCTAAGAGGTTTCCATATAACACTAGGAGAATGTTTTCGTCTATCTGAATCCAATGTGAACAAGTGGTAAAGGGACGCCCCTATATAGAATACAGAGTACCAAGCAGACTGTTTTGGCCCCACAGACAGGATTTATCAGAGTAAATTACCATGAGTTAAAATAAGTGTTCAATTAAAGGAGGCCTCTCATTTTCAACAGGTAGACTTCCAAGGGTATATCCTCATATTTCCTCCTTGAATCTCAAACTTCCTTTCCTATAGAAATAGTGGGATATGATACAGTTTTGGATTAGGGGGTATAACACAGTATACCTAAAATGTAAAAGTGCCCATCTGAGTTCTGTATCTTAGGAGCAGGAATCACGGAAAAAAAGAAACAGCAGCCTTGTTGTTCAACACAGTTCCCAAGACACACACAAATATGAAGAAGGAAAAATGCTTCTCCTCTGAGGGTCTCTGTTCCTCTTGGCTTCCCTTTGCCCTCTTTAAAGCAATGGCCTCCTTAGAAATGCCCTATTCCTCACGAACCAGCCACGCTATGAAAATATCCTTCGTTTGTTTTCCCAAATAATCAGAAATGCTTACCAGTCTCTAGAGTGCTTTAAGGAGAGTCTGACTGAGTCAATTAATGCTAAGGAGTACATGACAGTCTTGCCCATTCTGTGTGTGTGTGTGTGTGTGTGTGTGTTTGTGGTGTCACTGAAACACACACAATAAGGGCATGATGGAAATAACTAGGTTTTTTGATTGCATGACCGTTGCAGTTGGGAGTTAAGTAATAACAATATTCAAGAACAAAATCAAAAGGCCAGTGAGATGCCTTAGTAGGTAAATGTGCAGATGAAACCACCAAGATTGATGACCTGGGACTGATATCATGAAAGGAAAAATCAAACTCCCACAATTTGTACACACACACACTGAGAGAGAGAGAATAAATAAAAATGTAACAAAAGAAAAAGGTTGTAAAGCTGCCTGTAGTAATAAAACTGCACAGAAAAGAAAATGTGACAATATGAAACACTGTGTGGTCTGCTTGATACGGGGGAGGTACTAGTTAAGGTTAAACACAACTGTAGATGAGCAGACAGTTTTGTGCACATGAAGGGAAGAGTGACTTTTACAGCCAGTGAAACCCTGAGATGCAATGAATTTAGTTGGGGAGAACAGAAATGGGGCAGTAAGTCCAAAGAGCAATGGACAAAGAGAACAGAGGGGAATGCCGTGGAATGACCGGATGATGGAAGTCTGCAGGTGAGACTGATGCCTCTGAGGTTTGTCCTACTGACTGGTGTAGCTTTCAAGCTCTAGGAGGAGTGGGGACCATTATGAGCATCCCCCTCCCTACAACAGCACATTAACGAGTTCTAGGTACTTGCTAATATGATGAGAAAAAATGTTCATTCACCCTCAAAGCGACAAATCTTCCCCCATATATTTGGAAAAAATATGATAAAAGATATTTTGAATGAGACATGTGAGCATTCAACCCTGCCCCACTGAGGCTGAAGCGTGGGGAAGTTTTCAGTTCCTATCTGGCCATTACAGAGTGTAAGTATCAGTGTAGGAAGCGAAAGCAATTCATAAGACAGTAGACAGTAGCACTTCTACTTCACAAGTGTCAAGACATCAGCTGGGTCCAAAGGCCAGTGCTCACTGAGCAGGCTGACGTGATAAGCATTTCACTTTTTGTCTCAATTTTGTCTTATTGTAACAATGAAGTGTCATGTTCCAGAAACAATAGCATCATTTTCCCTTTTGTTTTTCAGGTGTCTGGTATATAGTCAAACAAATGTCAGGATCAATATTGAATAAGGCCACATAGTATAGCCATTTATCATCTTTAATTTACATAGCTTTTGGGAGTGAGGGGATTCCATATGCGCGTATACACACACACACACATATATGCATGTACAAATGTATATACACACACACATATATATACATGTATATAAGTATGTGTACAGACATACACATATATACGTGTATTTCCTGTGATTATCATTTTTAGTGAGCATGATGTACAGTTAACATTGTAATAAACCACAAGTGATTTATTTATAAATTACAGCAAAGAAGGCGGCGTCCCAGTGTCCCAATGAGAAGCATTTCTGGCTGAGAAGAAGTGCGATTACAATAACTAATAGTTTTGTTGTATTCTTCTAGTAAATCAATTGTTATGGTCCATTTTTTTTTGGTATGAGGCATGGTTGAAGTTTCTCAAAGCCACAGGTAAGCCAGAGGTGCTATGGTCCCCTCTCTCTTTTGGCTGGTGGCTGGTCTCAGAACTCTGAGTTAGTCTGTCATGTGACTGAGCCCATGGTAAAGGGGCAGTCTCAACTCTGTGTCTTATACCATCAGGATAGGGAATTTGAGAAGAGGCAGGTCCTGGTCTTTGAGAAGAGAAACTCTCACAACCAGGAAACTTAAAGCAACAAACCATTATCTTATTACTACACCCATAGGGCAGAGCATTTCTCAAGCCCTATCAGAGAAGCTTCTTGCAGTACATGGGAATTAACAACGAGATTCACAGCTGAACAATGAGATGTGAGTGAGTGAGTCAGTGAGTGAGTCAGTGAGTGAGTGAGTGAGTGAGAGACTTTGGAGCACTCAGCACTAAATGGGCATATCAATCAAATCCTTCCTGTTGAGGCTTAGGCATCTATGTGGAAGAAGAGATAGAAAGATGATAAGAGCCAGAGTTGGTGGGTGATGCCAAGGAAACAAGGTCTTCCTGACAGAACAGTACCGATACACATGTGAACTCACAGAGACTGTGTGTGACAGCACACTCAAGACCTGTGTAGATTCAAACTAGACCAGAACCCAGCACTGAGAAGAGGCAGGTGACACAAAGACCCACCCCTAACCAAGAAGCTGTTTGGAACTGATACCTGCTGGGAAAATCAGGTTTTTCCAATGGAGTGCCATTGGGTATATCATCCACACTCCAGGGCATGCCCCATTTCCAGGAGTAGCTGGCCAACACAAAATGAACTTAATGGTGTGTGTATGTGTGTGTGTGTGTGTGTGTGTGTGTGTGTGCGCGTGTGTGTGCTGTTTTGGAGAGTTTCATAAATCATCCTTTACCTGGCACCGAGGTTCCAAGAGCGACAAACACAACTGCAGTCACAGAATCTTTCAGGCCAATGGTGCAGCCAAAGTGGGAAGCCAGATCTCCAATGAAGGCTGTCAGGAGGCCAATCATGAGGATGGAGACAATGAAACAGGCCCAGCCATTCCAGTATTCTGTAGGGGGGACGAAGGCAAACAGAACCTTCCAGAACACTGTGAGAAAGTGCATCACGTAATCAAAACAGGAGGGCAGCTTTTCCTCCCCACATTCATCGTCGTCGTCATCTTCCCCTAGAAAAGAAAAGAAAACACCTTTCATTAAGACCCAGCTGCCAGGGACTTCTTCCATTCCCTGCATCTCCTTCTGGACTGTTGGCATGCTCCTCTGAGGGTCAAGAAGCCATCAGGGGTCAACTAAGCTTAGGGCTTTCTAAAAGTCAACCATCATGAGCCAATTATTGGTCATGGCATTCAGGAACCACTTCCCTTTGGCTCAGTGGTCAGGGGCAAAAGTTCATATCCAATCAATACACCCTTCCTACATAATGCTCACATTATCTCCCAGTGGTATTTGTCATTGGAGTGATGAAAAGATTTCTTGCCAAGAGAGAGAAGCCCCTCTGGAAGTTGGGCAAAGTTCTAATAGGATTCTTCTCTTAAAGTCTAATGGAAGATTGGTAGTTGTATGACTTCTACAGTGTGGTATTCAGTCAAGGCTCCCAAGTACAGCAATGAGCCTTTATACCACTCTGGATTGACCTCCTTTAACTATTTCAAACTTTGTCTTAGCCTAATAGTATTATCTGCTTTTTAAAACCATCTCCACTTTCTCTGGCTTTAGAGCTCAAAGTGTATCCCATATTCGTACCCCTACATCATTCTCCTCCACTAGTCTGTTAAAATGTCCCTCACCCCTCTTCAGAGTTGCCATGGCATCCAGGTTCTTGGGGATGTTCCCTGAGCAACAGCACTAGGGAATGCACTTGAAATTCAAATTATCAGTCTCATTGGATATGACAAGGAATCTGGGCTTGAATAAAGCCTCCTTGTTATTTGACTGCATGTTCAACTTTGAAAGTTGCTGCTTTGTCTAAAATTGGGCCTGTCTGATGTCCTCTCTTCTCCAGCCCTTTATGAATTTTGTCAGTCTAGTATTTGGTATCATTTCCATCAATTAGATAACTATTTTGTATCCTTTGCAGTTGGTACTATTTCCATCACTTAGATGACTAAGTACCTGTAAATGAGAGAATGCATGCATGGATTTCTACTGGTTTTACATCATTATGTATTTACATAACATATGTGTGTAGATCACAAATTCTCCTGTTAAATCACATTTGAACACACAAAGAAATGCAGGAAGCTTGTTAGTTAAAAAGACCAGGATGTAAATAACAACAACTTAAGGTATATTTCATTAATAGGTGATGTGAGAATAGTGTAACTGTAATTTACATTGGGCAGAAATAATCCCCATTCATGTGTTTTCAATTATGAGAGTCATTTTTCCTCAAAGTGAAAATACATGTTTCATATGCTTTGTGACAATTTAAAAAAGGAAATTATCCTTGAACATTTTGTTTACCTTCTCCAAAGTCACTTGGAATTTACTCTACTTCGTTCTAACTAATGTGGCTGGCAGCAGGTGGGGCTTGCAACTCTCTAGCTGATTGTGTAATACCAGAATGCCAGCACCAAGCAAATACCCATGCTCTTTGTGACAGAGTCCGGGGTGAAGCCATCTGAGGGCAAAAAGAAGTGCAGGAAAACCCTTAGACACACTCCAGCTTGGAGCAGGGGGTGGATGTCATGAAACTTGTAAAATCAGATGACTGGGTTTGTTCCTGGCCAGGCAGGAATAGAGAAATAGTGGAGGACTGCTCTGTGAGCACACAGTTACAGTTATTACATAAATAGTTTGATTATAAACAATGTAGCCTTGTCTTTGAGGCCTTGGGAGGTAGCCAATAAGCATTAGGAGAATGCTCTCATGGATATACAGAATCACCTTTGGGGACCCCTTGGGTGAAGAACTTGAGTCAAGTGATTGACAGAAAATTCTCTGGGTAAAAAAGCAAGACTGACCTCCCAGGTTCATGCTGTAGGAGTGAGGACATATTCTTAATAGCCCTGTCTGAAAGCACAAAACACTTTTTGAATAAAAGTGTCTGATATGGGCTGCATTGTACTCCTCCCTCCAAATCAATGCTAACCCCAAAGCCCTAGAATTGGATGTTTATTTAGAGATAATGCCTCTGAGCAGAAATGTAAGACAACGCATCAGAAAGGCATTGGCTCTGGGCATGGTGGCCCAGTCCTGTTGTCCAGCATTTGGGAGGCAGAGGCAGGAGTTAGAGTTTGAGGGCAGCTGGGCTACACAACGAGACATTATTGCAATTACATATGTTGTGCAAGCCAAGGAATTGCTTGGGTGTAACCAAACCTACTCACACCTTGATGCACAGAGAATGTCTTTCTTGTGTTTAAGCACCAATTTGTGGCAGTTTATTATGGCAGCTTTGGTCAACCAACAGCAGCTCTTTGGGCTCTTCCTGTGTCGCCATTTAAAGTCTGGGTATGATTATCAACATGTCACACCACAGCCACAACTACGTACAATTACTGCATGTCACTTACAAAGTAAACACGGCCCCCGCATTTAGAAAATTTCCCTTCTTCCTTACGTTTTCTTTGTCCTTTCACTCCTCGTCTCCCCCCACTTTTCTTTTATCCTTCCTTTTTTTTCTAGATAAAACTGTAAAAGCTTCCATATTCATAGTTAATTTTAAGCTGGGAGGGAGATGAGAACCATGTCAGTCTTTTGTCTGACTTGAGTCTGACTCCCGTCCTTCCTACTCTCTCTTTATAGACCTGTAATGTTTTCTCCTGTAGACTCTGCAATAGCATTGAATTTTTGGTTGTATTTATTTTGTATGAGGTTATTTTCTTAACTTCCCTATTTTAGGGTGCTTTCTAATTTCTCAGGCTATATGACGAGAATGTTTGGTAAACACGGAATTTATATCAATCATCTCCAGAATCAAAGAACATTCTGCCTCTGCAAAACTATTTATTTTGGGGATGATTAAGTCTCAAAGTTTAAAGATGAAACAGAAAGCAAAGAATGAAACTTCTCAAAAGAAATGACACATATAAATCAGGATATTTATTTGCAAGATGGAAATAATAACACCTTTCCCAGGAGGGCTGTGCATAGGAATAATTAGATCATTTGTATCAGGTATCTGAGGATACTTCAAACTAATGATTATCATGTTGCTTGTTGTTATAGCCTTCTGCTTTGGCATACAGCTGTGTTTTCCCATCATTATTAGCTAATGCACTGTTTCCTAAGGTGATATTCTACAAACTTGAAACAAAAATGACAGGAAGCACATGGCACTGTGGTGGGTGCACTCCTTTAATTTTCAGGAAGCAGAGACAGGTGGTTGTCTGTGAGTTTGAAGCCTAGCTGGAACTGCATAGCAAGGCCCAGTCTCAAAAAACCAATACCAAACATAAAGTGTGTGTGTGTGTGTGAGATATATATATTATCCCATAGCCTTCCAGCACTACAGAGAATCTTAAATGTCTTCATGCTTCAGTCTGAAATGGGAAGCCCATGTGTATGTGTATCTTTCAGCCTTTCAAAGCAGTGGCTTGTGTTCATTCTTTCTATTCTAGCATCTCACTGAACTTTATAAATTTTAATGATTAGCTGACAAGTCATGTAACTATTAAAAATGGCCACTGACTGCCTTGCTAGCCGCATAATTGCCCTGTCTTAGGGAAGGACAAGAGAGTATTTAGAGTGCCCATCACCAGCCGGGCTATTCTTAAGAGTCTGTTTCTTGAAAAGAGCAATGGAATATTAGTTCTATTCCTCCATACCTTGAGGGCATCTTTTATGGCATAACAGGGAGGACAGCAATCTTCTGGCTCTGTAGTCTGCCAGCCCAGAATTGCTTGAGCTACACGCTTCCTTTGCATCCCTTCTCTGCACTAGCTTGGAGATAGACAAGTTGGTTGGTTTGCTTTTAGAGGCTCCAAGTTAAATCCCTCTTATCTCAGAGTCCTTTTTTTCAGCTTTATAGATTCTATTAATGGAAAGATAAACAATCTGTGTTCCATTAATCCCTCCTGGAACCTTAGAAATGGCTTCCCCGATACATGTTGGCCTCCATAAATATAACCATAAAAATAGCCAAATCATAAAAAGTATAGGTAGTGGAGACAGCTTCACTTCAATTATTGATGTAATAACAAGGTGTTGTTGCTTCCCTGGAGCACAGAACGAGGGCATCATCTGTTCAGTGAGCCATGGCAGCTGAGCACGAGGCTTGCCACCAGCTGATACCTTATCTTGTGCAGTAACCAGGCGTTTGTTGACATCCCTCCACAGACATGGACCTCAAGGAGGGCATTGGGAACCAAAAAAAGAAGCTGTACTACACTTGAGTTAGAAATACTATAAATAAATTTCTGTTTCTCGTTGCTTGCTTTGGGAAGACACTTGTATTTCCCAAGTTTCATATCCATGTCTGTCAAATGAGTTTGCTAACTGTGGCATCACAGTGTTACTCTGAAGATCAGGAGAGGAAAGATCCCTGTCCTGTGTAGAGCCCTTCACAGGTTTGTGCTGTAGCCTAGCATTGTTGCTTGCTGACAGGAAGGCACTAAATCAATCCAGCCCCAGCAGTCTCATGTCAACAGATCTATGTACAGCTCAAGTGAACCATTGTCACCACTATTTCCTCAAGCTGACTTATTTTTAAAGGAAGGAAGGAGCATGGAGAACAGACATGACTGGGTGTCTAACTAGAGGGAGACTCTGAGTAAAAAAAAGAATATTTTCCCATACTGACCTTAAATCAACTTTACAGTTATCTTCTAAGAAAGGCATTGTTATTCTTATCTTTATGGAAGAATCTCAACCATAGGAAATTTAATTTTTGTTTTACAATAATCATTCAATTGGTAAGTAGCTAGGTTGTGATTTGATCTAATAGCCTGAGGGAACATATTCCTACATGATGCCTTCCTTATTGAAACAAGTAGGGTTAGCATCAATCTCATACTGATTTAACCCTTCCATTGTCTAGTGCCAGGTAGATACAATGCTGTGCCTTCTGTGAAAATGAAAACCCTGGCACACACAGTCAGCAACATCTGAATTCCAGCATTTTTAGACATAATTTTTATTTACCTAGTCACATGTATGCTATTATGTATTTATACCTTTGGGCACCATGTGCAAGAGGCGGGTGACAGCATAGTTGTGTCCATTT